TGTTCCACAGTGGTCACTTTCAACACAATCACCTCAAGGTCCCAAGCGCATATTAGTTTGCATCGGAAACTAGTTTGCCCTCTACCTATCGTTTGACCTTCTCACGCCTATGCTGCCCCCAGTAAGAGTGATAACGTTACCACACCGTCGGGTGGAAAAAGTACTTGGCACTGTCCACAGTGCCAAGAGGCAAATCAACGGACGGTATGTTCGTAGGCTGGTGAGAAAATTTCAGAAAACTGGGAACGTGTGCGACGCCAAAAAGACAGCGCGGCCTCGCATCACCACGAATGATTTTTCTGCCAGTGTGGTTATTCGTGAGGTGTCCAGAAGCTGCGATCTGAGCTTTCGTAAACTCGCTTAGCATTGATACACCACCAGATATGCTGTCCACAGGGTTTTAAAGGAAAGGCAAGTCTGGAAGTATAGCGCCGGTCCAGTGCAGCTGATGTAGCGCTTCACCTATGCAACATAGCGCAAAAACCATAGTAGGGGCCTTGTTAACTGGCCAAACAATCGTGGGATAATTGTGCTTTTCCGGTAATGTAAGCGGTAGGTTGTTGTTTCGAGGTCCTAATGTCTGACGCTTTCTGGCAACCTCGTACAATGAATTACTGGAAAATTGTTCCATTCAGGAACTGGAAGCCACTGGGTTATTAAGTACCGTTTGGTTGCAACAAGGTGTCATACCTGCACACTATGCACAAACGGTGCGGAGTTTTCTCAAGCAGACGTTCCCTTGCCGTTGGATTGGGTGGGGAGGACTTATAGAGTGGCCTGCTCGATCATCAGTTTGGAACCGTTTGGATTTCTTCCTCTGGAGTTACTTGAAACAGCGTGTTTGCAAAACGAAGCCAAACTCTTTTGAGGAACTGAAGCAGAGTATTTTGCACGAATATCGCGGGATCACAGTTGGTACTTTGCAGAAAGTTTCAGCAAACACCATCAGGCGAAACCTTCACCCTACGCAAAACGCCGGCGGGCGTTTTGAACATCAACTTCGCTGAGAAATCTGAGCATTACACCGATAATCTGTAATTATATGTATCATGCAAAGATTTATCGACTGAATTCGTGCGTTGGCTAATGCGCTCTTTTTCTTAGGAACGTCAGTTTATGATTTCTGCTGGCGTTTTGCGTGCGCGCGTCGTGTTATAAATAGCTCGGGATATTCGTTCTCCCGTAGGTCACCCGAACTCGAAGCTTGTCCCTACGGTTCAGTTTCTCTATTCCACCAAATCCATGTGGTAGAATAGCAGTCGAGGCTCAGTTGGCACATTTGAACGAACATCTTCCCAGTTGAACACATACCCAGAAGGAGACAAGCGCTTGCTTTACAACCACAAGGGTAGAACTTACCAAACAGTCATGCGCTAGTGCCACCAAGAAGTGACGTACCGTGACGAAGGATCATTGCGAATCCTTAAGGTACTAACTACGCAATGAAAAGGTTATACTACTGATTAACTGTCGTCATAATAAGTGTCGTCAAAATCAGAAGCAGGTCTGCATCAAAACATGCAAAAATTTCTCACAGACTATAGTCGATTCGTTTTTGTTGGGACAGACAGCGATAAAACCGAACTGGTTTTGAAATCAAACGTTCGTGAACTAAAGACCCTAACGACGGTGAGATGAAATCACGCAAATACTTTGACACAACCGATCACTCGAGCATCTCGTCTTCCATATTTGTAAGGACTATCGAAAATCCACAAGCAAGTCATCCCCTTAGCACCAATTGTTTCAATGATAGGCGCATTGTATCAGAAGTTGACCAAATACCTGACCAATGTAATCCAGCCTATCCTAAGGGAACTACACGACTATAACATTAAAGATACTTTGGTGGATAACATACTTGTTACCGCAAGTACAGTGGCCATACTGAGAATAGGTTGTCAGCGAGAATCGCAGAGCACCTTACTCCTAACGTGGTTGCAAAGGGTCCCAAGCTACCTACTAGTTCGGTTACCCGCCATATACTCGATTGCTCCGCGTGCCAAGACACTGGTGGATCGTTCAGCGTAATTAGCTAACGGAGAGCCGCCATAGCATTTTTCACCTATGTTCGTGAATTGTTAATTTAAATTCGTTCGCTCACGAAGCGAAATCCTTTGTTACCCTATCAAATTGGTGGCGTTAGCATCAGCCGTGATTGCGCACATTGTTCTAACGCAGGTAGCGAATCACAGGTACCTCTTACACAGCGTTTTCATTCATGAGCTGGGAAACAGATTCCATACCTTACTTTGGCTTAATGTATATATGGTTGCGGATCGAAAATGTTGGTTTTGTGGTAAGATGCCTCAAATTTCTTCGGTTTGCCTTCGACCTTTGTCGCATTGTCTATAGATGCGGCTCTTAAGCACAAGTGCCAGTACATCAGGACATGCAGCAACGTTATTGACAAAGTCACCGGTAACCATAGTCTGGTTTCTGGTTCAGAATGCTGGCTGTCCATTCTTAGTGCAGATAAGTTCCTAAAATGCATTCCAGTCAATTCGATAAATGTAATGAGTGGGTTACAACTTTGTACTGTAATGGCTTAGTTCGTTAAATGTTCACGATACGAAACGCCGTGTCGTGGTCGCATCTCGGTATTGGACTGTCAATGAGTGCACAAGTAGGAAGGATCCTCATGGTGAAGACCGAATCTAGGGTATTGGCATTTCCGGTGAGCCCTCTGACAAATGTGATGCTGCCATTGAAGTGGATAGAGCACACCACTTCGTCTAGTCGCGTTTAGACCGTAGGTCCAGGCAGTAAGCAGTTAACTTGCGGCTCATCGAAACATTCGCTTATAAGTTTGGACTTGTAGGTAGTGCTTGAAACTGTGTAGATAGCGTACATTAGCTGCTAGGTTTCATGCTGGGTTGCTCGGGGAGATCGGTAGATATAAGTGATTACAGGATGCCAACCAAATGTAGAAAGTTCCGCAATGTAACGTTTGGAACTTGGCAAAATGGTTTACGCATATCGCGATATCGCTTTACAATGCAATTGTCAGCGTCAGCAGCCATTGTCGTGTGTTTAAGAACATGCGTTTGGAAACTCGCATTTAACCAGGCCTGTAGAAAACCATGTGATGCGTAATTGATTAGATATTCCGAGAATAAGAAATCTATCATCTTGTTGTGACTATTCGTTGTTGTTCCAGACAATTAGAGTTTGACATAACAAGAGGCAACCAGTGTGTTGGTCTCTTGCGAAGAGTACTCGACAATGTAGATTTCTCCATGTTCTCCCGGGTGCTGAACGCCTATGTCGAATAGGCTACCCAGGCTTGGCAACCCTGGTTAAGGCGCGACCATGCTGCGCTCAAAGGACGCTGGGCAACGAAGATTGCCAAGGACTTGCGGCATCTTCCCCATCCGAACGACTGCAGAGACTCTGCTTACTTAGTGGACGCCACGAGAGACCTCATAATGATATACCAAATACTACGTGATCGCAGTCATGTTCGCCGACATTTACAACGCGGAGAACAATGTAATGTACCTTTACTTTACACAGTATCATGCCATTTCAACATTCAGGTTGGATCTGGTTCAAGCGCTTACGTGTCATGTGGTCAGTATACATCTTGTAAAGGGAGACCGCAGTTTCGCCCATGCGTTTGCAATATTATCTGTTAGTTGCTCCATCCTTTGTAACATTGTCAGGTCTCTGTGTTCTTCGATTGTTACCTACTTCGATTTTCCGCTAACAATCGACGCCTACCACCAAGTGTTTTGAAGCAGTATTTCAACTGCATCTCTTGGCTACCTCACGTTTCATTCTGGCCTTGTACCACTTTATCGCACCACGTACTGATATGGGTTCCGTTCATACTGACTATAGGCACCGTAACCCTGTGCTTTGTTCTCATGCAGGTAGCGAATCACAAATATTTCTTACGCAGTGTTTTCATTCATAGGATGTGAAACAGCTCCCATACTTTACGGATCCTACCTGCCTTTCCACATTCATCATAAGTGATCTATGTTGAACAATGCATAATCGGCCGCGTTCCGTTGCTTGGCCAACGATCACCCCATGCTCGCTGTGATCAGGCCTGCATATTTCAGTGGTCAAGCCAGGTGTCAACGCGACCTACTGCTCAACAATCGCCTCATGCTAAGTACGTCCATTCGGCCGTGTACGTGCTCCCCGATAGCCATATCTAATTTGCATGTGTTGGTGCGACAAAACTGTCCACGACCAACTGGATGAGGCGTGTTACGTGCTTTGGTATCCGATGGCGACAACCTGCGTTATGCATAGGTGACATTGTTAAGTGTAGCACAATGCTGTTGCTATGTTACAAGGGTTCTGTGTGACTAACGTAAGCAGGAAACAACAAACAACGGAAATTATTCAGGCAGGTGAGGAATTGGCGTATTTAGCGACCGGTATGGGTAATTACGCTTAATTGAGATTGTGGCACAGTGCTCGAACTTCCTATCAGACTGGATCTACGTCCAAGCATATGTCCCACTGGGCTCTACTGTGAAACACACATTACTACTCGTGCTTTAGTATCTTGAGAAATGTTGTGATTTGGCACAACCAACCACAGTGGAAGATTGCTTCATCATGAGATTTGAATGAAGAATTTAATTTTAAGGGCATGGTCACACGATACATACGGCTAGCATCAGTTCTTGAGAAAGACAATTCAATACAGATTTCCAGTTTAAGAGAATGCACGCACAAAGTATAGTTTGACTATCAAAGGTCAAGGTAGCCTAGTGGATACAACAATGACCATACACTGGGCTTTCCGACGTATCCACAGGATTGCTCACCGCATTACTCTTAACTGCATGACGGAGAAAGGTGGTATGTAAACGTGGTACAACTAGGACTACGTATTATTGCGTTCAAATTCAACCTTGATGCATCTGTGCAGAGTGCACGCATTGCACAGTAGTGGTTTTGCATCACGCATTGGAAATGGCAGCCATTGTCCCCCTCAACCAGTTTGAAGCATAATCATCTGATTTCCATGGACTTACTTCTGTCACATCCAGGTCACATTGAGATCCCGAAGTGACTCCGGGCAGATCGAACGTTATCTTTAGCTGATTGGGGCGCTGATTGGGGCCATCCGTTTTGGCGGCGGACATGACTTCAGCGTGCCATGCTATTCTTTCGCTGGCAAACTTAATCTCTCCTGTCTTAATTCCTTGCGTATCTACTTCCTCAATTAGTTTTGATTCCACGTTGTTCTGTGGCGACGCCTTGTGTGATAGCAAAAACGGTTCTTTTTCTGTGAAAAGTGGTCCTTCGTGGTTAGCTGGGTTGGTCAGGTGCCGGAGTTGAATTTCCCTGTCCCCCACAAACTTCCAAGTGGCAGCATCCAAAGGAGAGCTCATTCTGGAACCTTCCGGAGCGCCTTCGGCATTCAGCATGGGCCTCGCATAACCCAGTGATTGCACTATTTGAGATGTAGTTCCATATCTTGCATCCGGCGGCAGAAATTTCGGCCTCAGAGGAGCCGATGAGCAGATCACGCTATTCGATTCGACAGTGCACAGCTTCTTTTCCACTTCCAAATAATGTAGTCCCAGCCAAATCAGTTGGTATCGAGCGTCTTCTTCTTGACGACTACTCGCATGGGGAATAATCGGTGGGTCAGTTGGACCGGAGTCGGTTGCAAAGGCGTGTCTCACAAAGACATTTGGGTTGAAAGCCATGGCAATAGCAGAGCCTGAGGTAGGGATAAAGTAAATGGTCAGACAACAGGTAAGTAAGAGAACACTGAAGCAAGGTAAAAACAAACCATGCAGTAGGAAGTCACACGTTATGTTCATAATTAGTCATAGTTAACACACAAACACAAGCTTTACATTAATAACAACCATGCCGGTCAAGGGCATGCAGTATGCACGGATAGTGATGATATTGGCTCATTTGTGTCTTTTCGTTCACTCTAGCAACTCTTCATCCCATGCTGAATTATTGAGCTTGTCCGTCAGCTATGGACACCACGTACATTGGAAATGACACCGGGTTCTTTATGTTACTTCGTTTCTTCTCCGGATTTGACTGCCTTTTGGGTCTGCCGCTGTTCTGATACCCCTGTTTGTCATGATCTCAGTCTGTGGCTTAAAAGTGGGTTTAGGTGTGTTGCCGCTGTCTCAATGTTCGTGACACGTTACAACTCCGTTGAGAAGCTCATTTTCCCTCGCACTTCGCTGGTGACCGTCCAAGCAATGGGGTATTTAGGAAGTGGTTACATATACCTGAGTTGGTTGTTTAAGACAACGATTACGAGTATCCAATCTGGTCACTGCCAAAGGCCGTATAGGAACTCTCCGCTCGAGTACAGTATTCAAGAAGCGGGGTTTAATGTCACGTTCTTCACAACTGGGAGGGTGTATCCAAAATCTTTTTATTGCGTCCCCATGCGGAAGTAATGTTTCGGACTAATGATGTAACCCTAACAAGCACCTGAGGGAAGAGGCTGTCGTATGCGGAATGTAGGCTCAAATCGTGTGGCCTGCACCTAGTACTGGTGTATACCCGCAGTCAACACGACCACTTAACTGGTCAACGAATCACCTATGATTCATGCGCCATGTAACTTACCTGCCACTGTCCAGCTTGTGGACACGTGCACTGACTATACAAAACACTACCGGCCATGCTCCCAAGTTCTGGTATCCCGTCAGGCTACAACATTTGGCGACTGACATGTCAAAGGGGGTAGTGAGACTATAAGCAGGGAATCCTAGTGCAATTCCCGCACAATGATAATTACAAGTTGAAACAGCGTAGCTTCGCCTACTAGATGCTGTGGCAAGTAACCAGTCAATAAGTTTCGATGACAGGACAGGGTGCTGGGAGGCGCAAAACTGAGGAGACCCAGAAGGTCGAAACGCTGGCATCTGGTGCTTTTCTAGACTAGCCTAAGCCTGCTGATTGGGAGTGGCGATGATGAATTAGCTGAATTACATAAAAAAGAATTTAGAGCCAATTGGGTATGCAATACAATTTGTTCAACCCGATGTTTCATCTGGTGTAACATTTAGATCTTGGTTCTAATGCTATGAGGCCATCTTCCATAAGACTGGTGCATTGTGATTAAGAACACAGGCTCAAAGGTTGCGGGCCACCTAGCATAACTCTCGTTAATTGCATTTTATTGAAACTTCCACGAGATCTGACTTTCAGCGACACAGTAAAGCTAATGCAGGTTTTCGTTTACCGTTCCTTGATATTCACTAAGCGATATTATTATTTAAAACTGATGAAACACCCCCGTGTATAATCATCCTACAGGCGCTAGTATCGTCAAGGGCGAATGCGATCGATCCAAGCAGAAATCGAGCTAAAGCACAGGTTGATGTTTTGCAGCCCCTGTTGTCAACATGCCACATTCTGTGGCTAATGTTGCATTAATGAGACTTCTTCACCGCAGTTTGGCTAAACCAAATTACATGTAAACTTGGTCATTTTACGCTGGTCTGCTCTGCCTACCCGAATAATCATCTATTAACTGGCTACGTTGTCTACCATAATTGTGCTTATCTTCGTTAACATTATCGTGTTTGCAGCATTTTTGAAAAAATGGTGGAGATTTCGTACTTAAACTGGATTCGTTGAGAAACAACTTACTTCATATGCCAAACTAAAGAAGAGTTATGTCAGCGTAGCCGTATGCTTTAACAGATACATTTTATTTCATAATGTCATTTCAAGTGATTGGCACTTGTTTGACATCCCAGTTGTGGATGCGATTGATGTGCATGTTGACAAGGTGCCTACCTGTCTAGTACCCACTACCTCGTCCATCTGGCTCCAGGAGACAGTTGGTCGTTGATGGAAGGGACGGGGTGCACGGTCCTTGTGGTCGTGTTACGCTCAAAGAGTGATTCCATGCAATCAGTGTGGAGCGGACTGCGGTCCAGCCACCCAACTGTGTGCATTTGATTCCCAAATACAGCGTGCTTGTGTTTGCTTGTGAAGGAGTGTGGGCCGGCTCCGTTGATGAAACGTGGCTCCAATCCAAATGACGCTCCGGTCTTATTCCTTCGGGTTTACACTGGATATGGGGTGTGTGGTTGGAGCTGTGGGTGGTGCAGCGCAAGTCATGCATGGTCCATCTGTAGGAGCGGGAGTCCTGTGGGCCGGCTCCGTTGATGAAACGTGGCTCCCATCCACATGGCTCCCGGTCTTATTCCTCCGGGTTTACACGGGATATAGGGTGTGTGGTTGGAGATGTGGGTGGAGCGGCGCAAGCCACCCATGGTCCCTTTCTAGGCGTAAAGGTCCTGTGGCTTTCCACAGTGACAGGCAAATCCGAAACCGGATGCCGCCAACCATGTATGTTACAGACACCATTCGGTTTTTAACCATTTGGAGACGTATTCATTGTGATTGTGATTATTTGCGTAGTGGCATTTACTGTCGACCTATACACACAGATATCGGCTTGGAGTCCAGGTGGGATCGAGTGGATGCGTGCTGCTGACGAGTTCCAATAGATCGGAACGGTCGACCAGAGCTTTTCCGGATTTGTGTAGAGTTTTGTGAAACGAAACTAACTAACGGAATTTCTCTGAAGTAGCTCGCGGTGTTAGATCGGTTGAATGCAAGGAATACCTCTCGTCGCTACGAAAGGAGGGTATTCCCTCACTGGTGGTTGCTCAGCCTTTCCTATCGAACTTGTACTGGGCACATGTGTGGGGGCCGTTGAATGAGTCAAAGTGCTTCCTGTAAAACTCCTCGAGATGGTTGTCTTAGAACCACTATCTCCAAACAAACCACATATTCCACACTGCGGGACTTCTTAGTTGTTGTGGAAATCAAATCGGCGGCTAGCGATATAGGTACTCGTGATAAAATTCATCTCGACCGTTCCTTCCGGAGCATAAATACTAGTAGAAGAAAGACTAACAATCTTAAAGCACATGTATGATACACCACTTCGGTCATATTTATAAACTATAAGGAACACACCCCAGGTCTCAGGGACTTGTGGCAGTGAGCTATTGACACATCACTGACAGGCTGTTACTGTAGTTACACCATCGACAAACACCTTGGATGCCTTCCATGGCAACCAGCGAGTGTTGTATTATCCCTAGATGCTTCAACGCACGTGGGCGACGAGAACACAAAAATGTGGAGGGACAATGTTCTTTACATCAGAACATGTCCTGCCATATGGCAGGCAAGCAGAAGTTATGACCAATCAAGAACCTGAATCCATTGGCTGAGTGAGCCAATAAGATAACGGTCACATAAGGCACCAATGAAACGCGTGCAAAGGGGGCATTTGATGATGTCAATTTCAGGGACAAACTGTTGGATCACCAGAAATAACTACTGTTAACGTCCAATAAGGCTGCCGGAACGACGCGTTAAAAAACAGTACGAGATGCAAGCAAAAAATGTGAGGGTGCGGTTATGAACTATCAAGCGGAATGCATCTCAATTAAACATTCCCCTAATACCTCACCCTTCTTAAAATGAGTTACGTGGGGACCGTGTAGTACTTCCGATGGGGGTCCACCAGTACAGGTTTCACAAATCAGCTTGGTCGTTTTAGACTTGATTTGACTCATTTTCTCAACGTTGCAACCAACGAAATTCACTCCTGACGGCAGCACTCAGATCACAGATGCTATTAAATCCGTCGAAACGACGTTCCAGCAAAAACTGTATAACACGGTCTAATTTGCTTCATATCACCAGGCAAAAGCTATGTATTGACTTGGACTACGTACATCACGATGCTTCGACTCCGTATGACTCGTCATGGCACCCAGTTGGCACGACATCGCTGGTTGTGATTGTGGGCAAAACGATGCAGACCTAATGTGTCCGATTCCGTTTTGTGTGTCAAACTCACTACATTTGTAGGATGGGAACTGTGATCCGGTATCCAACACATTTGTTTCTAGTAGACCTTGCTAAGTGAACATGTGCATTAAGACAAAGACTGTGCTATCTGCGGACGCGTTTCGCACCACGGTAAATTCAACCCACTTGCTGTAGGTGTCGAGCAGTACAAAAGGAACCATCAACTAGACCAGTAAAATCCACATGTATACGGAACCAAGGTGATTCTGGTTTCGGCCAAGGTTGCAATGTCATTGATACCAGCATTTTGGAAGTATAAGAGAATTTGGAACAGGTTCAACCAATATCTTCTATTTAAATACCCATCAATGCTCAGAAAAATGTAGCTCTGCGCGAGTGCTTTCGTGTGAGCGATTCCTAGATGGCCTTTATATAGGTGAGTTAAAACATGTTGCCGAACTTATTCTGGAATGACAAAACGATAGGTTAAAAACTGATAGGTGTCTATTTCCGGTAAAGAGTCGAGTAGTGAGTAAAACTAAGTTCTTCCTTTGGCCTTTCTTCTGCCTGCCTTGTCTTATGAACAATAAACAATGATTTATCACGGATAACATAGCAGGTGCTTGACAAATCCCGTAGGGTGGCTGGGGTGGAAACTAAAATATCGGAAGGCATGCGAGTCACATGTGCAAGCCTCTAGGGAGAAAATGCATTGCTGAACAACGGTGGTGTAAAGGAGGATTAGACGAGAGCATACAAAACAACATGGTGAGCAGTGAATGTTGACATAGTGTGTGAAACAAAAATAAGAGCACACGCATAAGACCACTTGCTTGAGTCAATGTGTCACCTAAATCCGGTAGGAGAACATAAGTAACGCAATCCCCAGTAGCGCAACTAAATAACGAAGTGCTAGGAGATAAGATTAACATCTAATCAAATGTAGGGGAGGAGACAACTGAGTTTGGGAGAGTTTTAAGGTTGGCAAAATCGAAGAGAAAAA